TTTTATTCCGGAAATGGGTGAAGAAACTGGTGAGGAATCGAAAGCTAGCATCGGCAAAGCAATCGAAGCAATCTCTTCTTTGATTTCACTCTCTCACTCAATCAAATCCTTCAACGTCAAATGGCAACTCATAAGAACAAAACTCCAAGAGCTTTACTCTGGTCTCGCAGCTCTGCAGAATCTCGATTCCGGATTCGACCCATCTCTCTCAAGCTTAATCTCCGCTATTCTCGCTTCTCTACGAGACTGCTACGATCTCGCGACTCGTTGCGTTAACGTCTCTTACAGTGGGAAGCTCCTGATGCAGAGCGATTTAGATGTTGTTGCCGGGAAATTCGACCGGCACACGAGGAATCTGTCTCGGATTTACTCAGCTGGAATTCTCAGTCATGGTTTCGCGATCGTTGTTTCGAAGCCTAATGCTAATGCTTGTAAAGAAGACATGAGGTTTTACATTAGGGATTTACTCACGAGGATGAAGATTGGAGATCTGGAGATGAAGAAACAAGCTTTGATTAAGCTTAATGAAGCTATGGAAGAAGATGATAGATATGTTAAAGCTGTGATTGAAATCAGCGATATGGTTAATATCCTTGTTGGGTTTCTTGATTCTGAGATTGGGATTCAACAAGAATCTGCAAAAGCTGTGTTTTTTATCTCTGGATTTGCTTCTTACAGATCTGTTTTGATCAGATCGGGTGTGATTGGTCCTCTTGTTAGGGTTCTTGAGAATGGGGATGATGTTGGTAGAGAAGTGTCTGCAAGGTGTTTGAAGAAATTAACAGAGAATTCAGAGAATGCTTGGTCTGTCTCTTCTCATGGAGGAGTCTCGGCATTGCTAAAGATATGTTCTTGCGGCGAATTCGGAGGCGAATTGATCGCTAGCTCGTGTGGAGTGTTGAGAAATCTCGTCGGTGTTGAAGAAATCAAGAGGTATATGATCGAAGAAGACGACACGATGACCACTTTCATCAAGCTTATTGGATCAAAAGAAGAGATTGTTCAGGTAAATTCTATTGATCTATTGTTAAGTGTGTGTTCTAAAGACGAACAAACCCTCGAAATATTGGTTAGACAAGGAGGAATCCAGGAGCTAGTGAGTGTATTGTCAGATCCTAATTCGTTGTCCTCTTCGAAATCTAAGGAGATAGCATTAAGAGCAATTGATAACTTATGTTTCGGTTCCGCCGGTTGTTTGAATACACTGATGAGTTGCAAATTCTTGGATCATTTGCTGTATCTGCTAAGAAACGGGGAGATTTCTGTTCAAGAATCGGCCTTGAAGGTCACGTCTAGGCTATGTAGTTTACCAGAAGAGGTTAAGAGGATAATGGGAGACGTGGGTTTTATGCCTGAGTTGGTTAAATTTCTTGACGCCAAATCTTTAGATGTAAGAGAAATGGCGAGTGTAGCGCTCTACTGTTTGATCTCGGTTCCAAGGAACAGGAAGAAGTTTGCGCAAGACGACTATAACATTAGCTACATTCTCAAGTTGCTAGACCATGAAGACGGAAGCAATGTGAGCAGCGATTCAGGTAACACAAAGTTCTTGATATCGATATTGATGTCTTTAACGAGCTGTAATAGCGCGAGAAGAAAGATTGCGGCTTCAGGGTATTTGAAAAACATAGAGAAGCTAGCAGAAACTGAAGGCTCAGATGCTAAGAAACTTGTGAAGAAGCTATCTAAGAACAGATTCCGTAGCATACTTAGTGGTATTTGGCATTCCTAATTTTCTTTACTTTTTTCAATTTTTGTGAATTTTTATTTCTTTGAGTGTATATTTTTACAAAAGGTGTTTTTTTTTTCTTTTCTTGATAGTTCTCTTCCCACTAATCCCAATTCCATGTGACCTCCAAATTCAACTTCAAGAATATTATTTTTATAGCTTTAGAACA